ACATGCTTTTCTTTTTCTCTATCTTCTATTTCTGTATCATCTAATTTACGTTTAGTGCTTGATTCTATTTGTGGATCAAGTACTATCAATTCTAAATTATTTTCAATAAAATTAATGGGCTTTTTCTCAACCCAATGCAATTTTTCACGTAAATTCTTATGCAATGATTCTATATTATCTGGAATAATGATATTGGGAGGAAGATCACCATTCCAATACCGATTATAAACCCAGAAACTTGATTCATCATAATTCACATCCGTTATGATCCCACCTAAAATCTTATTGATATTTACTTGTTTTTTCAAGTAAACATCGTCATCTTTCATATACAAGTTATCGATATCTTCATCGTATACAAACTTTTTAGCCTCTTCTAATGTTGTATCCTCCGTAAATTTGATATCAAATCTACCTTCAATAAAGTCTTGAATGTTTCCGGAAGAATACGGATCTAATTTCTTGATTGTAAATTTAACACGTCCATTTTTTTTGTATTTTCCACTCAATCTAAACATGTATCCTTCTGATTCCATAAATCTACGGTGTAATGCAACTTTTGTTTCCATATTATACACCGCATCTCTGCTAAAATTACGAGTTCTGTAACTAAACAAATCATCAAAACTATCTTGAGCCGTAAACAGATTAAACTTTGATACTACTTGGATGGGTTTTTTTGCTCTTTGTTTGATTGTTACTTGATCTGCTTCAGTTACCTTTAACAGATCTTTAAGATCCCATGTGTTGAATTTTAACTCTTGAGTTACTATACATTCGTGATTCTTGTACTCATCAAGATACTCGATATCTTTAGCTTTTTGACATATTTTATTCTTTTTTTCTTCAATTGTTGTTGGATTATTCACCAAAGCTAACGATAATTTCTCAACTATTGTTGTCTTTCCTGAATGTGAATCACCGTAAAATAAAAAGTTCTTGGGATAAAATCTTTTTTCTGGGATATACTTTAATTGATTTTCTAACTCATCCAAATCTTTTGAAATTGTTTTTAATCCCAATACTGAATCGAGCACGGATGTGGGAAACTTATTAAGATTTTTTAAAAAATCTTTATATCTTGTTCCGTTTTTTAGATCTTCTATAAGTTGTTGTTTTTTATATTCATTGTC